TTTAAATTAGCGACCGATCCGTACATTGGTAAACTTGCTTTTATTCGTGTTTATTCGGGAATTTTAAAAAGTGGTTCTTATGTTATGAATACAAATAAAAGAATCAAAGAAAGAGTCGGACGACTCATACAAATGCATGCCAATCAAAGAAAAGAAATCAAAGAAGCTAAATCAGGTGATATAGTTGCTGCGGTGGGATTAAAAAAAACTTTTACCGGAGAAACGATTGCCGATTTGAATTTTTCTGTTATTTTGGAAAAAATGAGCTTTCCTGAACCGGTTATTTCTCTTTCGCTCGAACCGTCCACTAAAAGTGATCAAGAAAAAATGAGTAAATCTCTCAACAGTTTAGCGGAAGAAGATCCGACTTTTCAAACTCGCATTGATCACGAAACTAATCAAACAATTATTGCCGGAATGGGTGAACTTCATCTTGATGTATTAGTTGAACGATTAAAAAGAGAATTCAAAGTTAATGTAAAAGTCGGACAACCGAAAGTTTCGTATCGAGAAGCGATTACGGAAAAAGTAGAAACAGAAGGTAAGTTTATTCGTCAAACTGGGGGAAGAGGACAGTATGGGCATGTGCTCATTGATTTTGAACCGTATGAAAATGAAAATTTTAAATTCGTTAGTCGCGTTGTTGGTGGGAGAATTCCGAAAGAATACATTCCGCCAATTCGTTCCTCACTGGAAAATAATTTACAACGGGGAGTGATAGCTGGTTATCCAATGGTAAATATACAAGCAACGTTAAAGGACGGATCATTTCACGAAGTCGATTCGAGCGAATATGCTTTTAAGGCTGCTGCCGCTCTCGCTTTAAGATCAGTACAAGAAAAAACTAAAATTATTATTCTAGAACCCATCATGAAAGTAGAAATTTCGACCCCGGTTGACTATTATGGTGACATTATCGGAAACTTAACAAGTCGTCGAGGCAAAGTAGTGGAAACCGAACGAATAAAAAACATTGAAATTATAAAGGCTGATGTTCCGCTTGAAGAAATGTTTGGATATTCAACCACATTACGATCATTGAGTCAAGGAAGAGCGAGTTACATAATGCAATTTGGAAATTACGAAAGAACGCCAAACAGTATTTCGGAAAAAATTATTAAAGAAAGTAATTTTTCTCCTCGCGATTTATAGAATTTTTTTATTTTCTTTGTATTTGGATTTGTTTTTCTCAATCAAATATTATTGAAGGACTTTTTTGTTGAGTATTTTTTTCAAAAATAAAATCGACTTTTTTTTCTCAATTTATAATTAATTTAAATTCCGTGATCGGCGGTTCCTCGGCCAAATTGCAACTTGTCGCAACTAATGGACCTGTTTTTAACAAAATGTTTTTTAATCAATCTCACTTAACGAGGCGAACTGCCAAACTGCTATCGAATCAAATTTTTGAATGTCATTTTTTTTGACTTTTATAAATTATTGTCGTCGGTTGAATAATTTTATTCAAAAAATTTTTTATTCGTTCATCAAATAAAATTAAAGTTTTTAACTGTTTCACACTACCAACAATAATTGGCATTTTTTTATTTCAATTACGATTTTTTATTTGATAAATTTTTTGAATACCTTGAAAATTATTTAATTTAGTTACAATTCCGTAAACTGTGTCGGTGGGAATTATACCAATTTGATTATTATTTAATCTATGAATTAATTCTTTTTCGTCTTTGATTTTCATTTTTTATTCTTTTTGATAAATAAAACAAAATCTATTCAATCCACCATAATCTTTTTGAAATATAAAATTTGCTTGAGGTAAATATTTTTTAATCATTTTTGTCAAAGTTTCTTTCTGATTGTAGCCAATTTCTAAACTAATTAAAAAATTTTTTTTCAAATATAGTTTTACTTTTTTCAAAAATTTATCAAAAATTTCACAACCCGTTACTCCTCCATACAAACTCATCGGTGAATCGTTTTGTTTTAGATTTTTAGATAGCGGATGATCATATGCAATATATGGCAAATTCGCAATTATAAAATGATACTTTTGGGGAATATGGGGAAATAAATCGCAAAAAAAACTTTTTATTTTTAATTTATGTCGTAAAAAATTCTTTTTTGCGCATTTTAATGCTTTTTCATCAATTTCACTAACAAAAATTTGATGATGAGGAAATATTTTTTTTCAACTTATGGCAATCACGCCGCTTCCCGTACCTATTTCCAAAACATCGATTTTTCTTTTTTCAAATCAACTATGTATATAATTTTGTGACAAATCAACTAATTGTTCGGTTTCGGGCCGTGGACGAAAAATTTTTGGACACAATTCAATTTCGGAATTATAAAAGTATATTTTTTTATTTTTCGTTTTCTTCATCAAGAGTTTTGAGTACATTTCAAAAAGTTTCAAAATTTCCGTTCATGACTTTTTGAATATTTTTTACAGAAACTTTAATGCGATGATCCGTTACTCGATTTTGCGGAAAATTATAAGTTCTAATTTTTTCATGTCTCATGCCGTGACCTACTTGTTGATGCCGTTCATCAGTTTCTTTATTTTTTCGAAACTGTTGTTCTCTTTCGTATAAACGAGCTCTTAAAATTTTTAATGCTCTATCTTTATTATCGTGTTGTGAGCGACCGGTTTGACATGAGACGGAAATCCCGGTGGGTAAATGAGTTACTCGAATCGCCGAATCGGTTGTATTGACATGTTGTCCACCGGCTCCTCTACTACGAAAAGTATCAATTCGCAAATCCTTACTGTCAATCGGCATGTCTTTTTCTTCTTGAATCGGCATAACTGCCACTGTCGCCGTGGAAGTATGAATTCGACCTTGTGATTCTGTTTTTGGTATTCTTTGAATTCGATGAACACCTGATTCGTAACGCATATTTTGGTAGGCATCGGGTTTTTTTATTAAAATTGAAACAAAAGCATATCCACCGCTATCGGTTTTGGAAGTATCTAACATTTCATAGGGTCAATTTTCTTTTTTAGCAAGTTTTAAATAAGCATCGGCTAATTCCTTAGCAAAAAGATTGGCTTCTTCTCCGCCGGCCGCTCCTCTAATTTCAACAATAAAGAATTTTTTTGTTGGTTTTGTTTTTTTTATAAATAAATTTGTTATTTGCTGTTCTAACTTTTTTCGTTTTTTTTCGTTTTTTTTAATTTCTTGAAGAGTTTCGACTTTTAAGTCGCTTTCTTTATCAAAAATTATTTTTCAGTCATTAATTTCTTTCTCTACTTTTCTTCATTCTTGAAATAAATTCACTTTATTTTCAATTAATTGCAATTTTTTTTTAATTTCTGCGAACTGAGCAATATTTTTCAATATTTCTTTGCTTTGTAATTTAGTTTCTAATTGTTTATACTCTTTTTCTAATTCAATTAATTTATTTTTAATTTTATTATTCATTTTTATTTTTTCAAAAATTCAACATTGCAAAATTTACATCGTGCTTCATATTGACCAACTCCTCCGACCATTATTTTTGGTTTATAATAACTAACCGGTTTTCCATTTTTAATTCGTTGAGTTCGATTTGCTAATCCATTACACTTAGAACAAACAGAAAATAATTTATCTACCAAGTCTGCTTCTACCAACAAATGACTCATTAAACTATTATATTTATTTCAATATCCACCATCTAATCCGGCACAAATGATTATTTTTTTCTTTTGCGCCTGATCAAGTAAAATTGGGAGAAAACTTTTATCTAAAAATTGTATTTCATCAATGGCAATCGCATCATAATCGGATGTTTTTTTTAAAATATTTATCATATCAATAGGTTTATTAATCAAAAAAGTTTTCACTCTTCGTTTGTCATGCGAAACAATTTCACTGATTCCTCGATATCGATTATCAATTTTGGATTTAAAAATTAAGACTTTTTTTTGTGCTCTTTGCAGCACTCGAATTCTGCGAAGTAGTTCTTCAGTTTTGCCTGAATACATACACCCGGCAATTACCGAGATAGAGCCCTTGGCGAGTCACGAAGCATTATTCATAATTTAATATTTTTTCAACTTCCTTAATTAATCTTATTACTTGTTTATTTGATTTTAACTTTATTCCCGCCGCGTTATCATGCCCTCCACCTCCAAACATTCGCGCTATTTTACCAACATTATAGTTACCGCGACTTCTTAAATTACAATTAATTAAATCTTTCATCGTTGTTTGTACAATAAATATCAAAATTGGACAACTTTGTAAATTTTTAAAAAAAATTAAAAAACGAGAAAATTCCCGATAAGACTTTACTTTTAAATCTTTTTGATTTTTGGGTCAATATTCAAATAGACCATATTTTTTTCTTATTTTTAAATTTTTAACTAAATATCGAAATTTTTTAAAAGCTCCAAAACTCATTTTATTAATCTTATGATTAAATTCCGGAATATTAATTCCTTGTTTGACTAAAATGTTCACTAATTCAAAAGTTCGGGCATTAACTTTGGAAAAAACCAATCCTCCACTATCGGTAATAATTCCCAGATAAAGTCATTCCGCAATTAAAAGGTTTAATTTTCAATTAAGAGCAAGAATAATTTCTAAAATCAATTCCGCACAGGCGATGCGTTGACTATCAATATATTGAATATCAGCTACTGTTTTCTCCGTAATTGGATGATGATCAATAATAACAGTTTTTTTGGCCTTCAAATTGGAATACGCAGCTCTCTTAGGTTCATTTAAATCAACATAAATCACGAGCGATTTAGCAAAAATTTTCTCGTTAATTTTTGAGTTAATATATTTTAAAAAAAATAAATTTGGAATTGGTTTGTATTCGAACGGAGTATAAATTTCTTTTTTCGGATAAGCGTTTCGTAAGCAGTAACCGAGTGCTTGTTGCGATCCTAATGAGTCTCCATCCGGATTTTCATGTCCCAATATGATGATTGAGGAATGTTTTTCGATTTCTGATTTAATTTGGTGAATAATTTTATTTGCATACATTGATTTATTTTTTATTATTATTTTTTTTTCATTAAATAGATTTTATTTCATTTTTAATTATTAGTAATGCAGAGAATTAAATCCAACAAAAAAAGGAATTACATCGCGAATATTTTTCACTCCCGTGATGTAAAGTAATAAACGATCAAAACCCAATCCAAATCCGGTTGAACCTCCATATCCTTGTTTTCTTAAATTGAGATATCAATCTAGTTTTGAACTATTTAACTTTCTTTTTTCACTGGCTATTTTTAATTTTTCATAATCATTTTCTCGTTCACTGCCACCAACCAATTCTCCTATTTCGGGAACCAGTAAGTCAAAACCGCGTACTGTTTTTCCATCTTCGTTCAATTTCATATAAAAAGCTTTTATTTTTTCGGGATAATTGATAATGAAAACCGGTTTTTTGAATTCTTCACAAATAAAGTGTTCGTGTTCTTTTAGTAAATCCATCCCTCAATGAATGTTATTTTCTTTGAATTTATTTTTATTTTTTTGTAATTTTGTAATTATTTCGTCGTAAGTTAAACAAGCAAATTTATTTTCGTTAATTTTTTTTATTCTTTCTATCAAATCAATTTTGTTTATTTGCGTTAAATATTCTAATTCTGTTTTCATTGTTTTTTTTATTTTTGTTAAGACGGTTTTAATTAACGATTCAACGATCAATAAACCATCCTCCATTTTGGCAAAAGCAATTTCTGGTTCTAACATTCAAAATTCTGATGTGTGAAATCGAGTATTAGATTTGTCAGCACGAAAAGTAGGAGCAAAAGTATAAACTTTTCGTAAACATTGAGCAAAGGCTTCGGCCTGTAATTGACCACTTACGGTTAAAACAGCATTTGTTTTAAAAAAATTATTTTTTTCATTTGTGGAAACATTAAAGGTTTCTCCTCCGCCTTCACAGTCGTTGTTGGTTAAAATCGGAGAGTGTAAATAGTGATATTCTTGATTTTGTAGATATTCATGGATTAATTTAATTAATTCATTTCGAATTCGAAAAATAGACAAATAATAACGACTTCGTGCTCTTAATTCGCTATGCGAACGCATAAACTCTTTTGTATGCTCTTTTTTTTGCAAAAAATACGATTCATTCGTTTTATTAATTACTTGAATTTCAATTAAATTTAACTCTACAATTTCTTGTTTGTTTTTGGCGTTGACAATTTTACCCTTTACCGAAATTGCCGAACCAATCGGAAGTTTTTGCATTTCTCTATAAGAAAAATTGTTACTTACTTCATTTCGATAAACAACCTGCAAACTCGCTAGTCCGGAACCATCTTGTATAACTAAAAAAGAAACTTTTTTCCCTCCGCGATTACTACTCACTCAACCTTTTAATTGAATTGTTTGATTTAAAAATTGGGAATAATTTTGTTTTATTTTTCGAATACTCATATAAATTTATCTTTTCATTATTATTTTAATATAAAACAATTTAACTCTCGAATAAGGAAAATTAAATAAAAGGATAATTAAATTTTCCGGAAATGCCCGAAATCGGGTGTGTAATGAGAAAGAAATTTTTATCAATTTTTTTTATTAGTTCTACAATTTCTTCTTTTTCCACATATGTGACAGCGGTACTAATAATTTTTTTCTTTTTTTTGTCAAATAATCCTTGACTTTCTAAAACTATTCCCCCTCTTCGTGAATAAGTTCTTAAAGCTTTCTCTATTTTTTCCGCCTGTATACTTACTATTCATAAATTCACAATGGTGAATTTGGGATACAAGTGATTGGTAAAGGCAATTTGAGAAAAACCGTAAATTAAAGAGGCGGTCACTAAAAGCAAAAATGTTACTCAGTTAATTGATTCGGTGTCGGCATTTCCACCGACCATTTCACTAATTAAGATTCCACCACTAACAAAAATAAGATTAATAGGAAAAGATACTTTTTTAGGGTTTTGTCTTTTAATTACTGAAAAATAAGTATAAATATAATCCAATCCTCCACTGTTAATTTGATTTGCTCACAAAAGAGAGACTAAAAATCCAATCACTAAACCACTTAAAATTGCAACAAAATAATATTTAATATCGTTAATTCTCTCATTCGGATTTTCGGCGATTTTAAAATCAATTTTTTCAAAAAAACTTCAATTTAGTATTGTTTTAAAACAAAATAAGGTTGATACCACGGTAAATATACAACTAAAATAAATAGATCGCATTGTATAGTTTTTACCTAATTTATAATAAGAAAAAATAAAAAGAGGTAAAGAAAAAATTAACATAGAAAGATAAAAAAGAAACTGATTTAAATCGTAAATATTGCTAATATTTTGTAGATTTTCAATTTTTATAAGTTGATAATAAAGAACTTGAGATCCAATAAAAAAGCTCGGAATATAAATTTTTACTTTCAAAATAAATTTGGAAAATATCAAAATAAAAACAATACTAATTATTAAAAAAAATATCGTCAATTTAACTCAATATCAACCGCTTTGCATTTTTTGTGCTTGCGAATCATCGCGCAAAAACTTAACTTTATGAATTTGAAACATTTTAGACTTTTAATCTTTCTTATCTTACTCTTTTTTTTTCATTTGAGTATAAATTTTTATTTTTAATGATCAAATAAATATTAAAAAGACCATTAAAACAGGCGGTCAAGAAATCAAATGATTTCAACCATTAATTTTTTCCAAACTCATTATGATAATCAAAAAAGACACATAAACAAGCATTCGAAGAAAAAAGAAAAAAAAATATCGTCATTGTCAATTACTTATCAAATTATTCGGATTGCCTTTTTCTCATAATCACCAACATAATAAACACGGCCATAAAGCTAATTGTGTGGTAAAAATTCAAAACATTTGTTCTCTAATCGCTCCCACCATAAAAGCAATAATTTCTAATAATAAAAAACTTCATAAAAACAAATTTTTATTAAGTTTGTGAATGATTTTATTTTTAATTACTGTTAAAGAAACGGTCTCCCGCATCGCCAATTCCCGGAATAATATATTTATTTTTGTTTAATCCTTCATCTTTCTGTGTGAGAAAAATTTGTACATTGACATCGCTTTTTCGAATTTTGTCAATACCCTCAGGCACGGCAAATAAACTTACAATTTGAATTTTATTTTGTGTATGCTTTCTTAGTTCTTTTAGGGCGGCAACGATAGTATTCCCGGTAGCTATCATTGGTTCTAAAATTATAATTTTTGATTTAAAAGTCAGTGGCGGAATTTTTAAATAATAATTTTTAGGTTGATATGTTTTTTTATCTCGATAATAGCCCATGTGAACTATCTTAGAATCAGGCAATACTTTTAAATATGCATCAACCATTCCTAATCCGGCCCGCAAAATAGGAATTAAAATGATTTCTTCGTCTATTTTATAGCCCTGTGTTTTTTTTAACGGAGTTTCAATATTAATTTTTTTAGTTGCGAAATTTTTTGTAACAAAAAAAATTGTTAAACGAGTGATTTCGTGCAAAGCTTTTCGAAAATCGACATGATTAGTTTTTTTGTTTCGCAAAATAGAAAGATAATGATGAATTAATGGATGCTCTAATAGTACTAAATCTTTTTCTTTCATAATTATCATTTTACTGCTTTTAGGAATAAAAGTTAGATAAAAATAACGAAAAAATACAGCAAGTTATATAATATTATTTATATTATTTTTTTTTATGTCAAACAAAATAGGAATTCGAATTTCTACCGTTTTAACGAATAATGAGTGATATTTCATTATCACCATTATCACCATTACTCTCATAATGCTGACTTTAGCCTTTTATTTTTGATATCGCTTAAAAAAACTAAAAATTAATGATTCTCCAAGAGGATTTGTTTTATTGGTTCAAAAAATGATGAGTGGATTAAATCATTTAGTTAATAATTCCGTAGGCCCGCGTTTTCAATTTTTAACTCCCTATGTGCTTTATATACTGCTTTATATCAACATGGCAAATTTATTATCTATTTTAGGCGCTCCTTTTATTCCCCCTCTGACCAATGTTTTTCTTATTTTAAGTTTAGGGATTATTGTTTTGTTTGGTATTATTGCTTTTACTATTCGTTTTAAAAAATGAAAAACAATTTTACATTTTTTAAATCCGCTTGAGTGATCATCCTTAATTAGTTCCCTTATTTCAATTTCTTTTCGTCTTTTAGGAAATTTATTTGTGGGTTATTTATTGTTTTCGCTCGTTTACGGATTATTTACTTACGAAAATATTTACCCCGTTAATCATTTTTATTTTTTAGCGATTTTGCTTTCTCCCTTACATTTGTATTTTGATGTATTCATTGGTATCTTACAGTCGTTTGTTTATGTTATTTTGATGTTAACTTATTGATCATTATCGCGTAATTTAGAATTAGAACAAAAAGACAAAATAACTGAAAATTTTCAAGAACTAAAATCAGTTGAATTAAAATAAGATAGATTAAAATATAAAAAAGAGAAAGGAAATTATTATGGTCGATTGAACTCAATTAAAATGAATTGCGATTGGTTTGTCTACATTATCATTTATCGGAAGTGGAATTGGTCAAGGAATCGCAGCCGGAAAAGCAACTCTTGCGGTTGGTCGTAATCCCGAAGCTGAACCTAAAATTCGAACAATGATGATTATTGGTTGTGCTATTGCGGAATCAGGTTCCATTTATGGATTAATGTTGGCATTAATTATGCTTTTCGTGGTTTAAAAAAATAAAAAAAAATAATAATTTTATGTTTACAAGCACTATTTTTTTGGCGACTGTTAATACAAGTAATTTATTAGAAATTAATATTTTTGTGTTAATTGCTCATATTATTGCTGGAATTGCAATTTTTACCATTCTTTTTTTGTTGGTGCACAAGCCGCTAGCCAAATGAATGAAAAAAAGGTTTCAACATTTTGAAAAACAAAAAAACGAAACTCAAAAAAATCTACAGCTGAGCGAAGCTACACAAAAAGCCGCTTCCGCCAAACTTGCTAAAACCGAAAGCTTTACGGAGGAATTGGTTAAAGATGCGAAAATTCAAGCCGAAGAAATTCGTAAAAAATTAATTTTTCAAGCGCAAAAAGAAAGTCAAGATTTAATTAAAAGCGGTGAAACCGAAAGTATGCAAATAAAAAAACAAGCTAAACGAGATATTCAAAAAAGTATTGCGGAAAATTCAATTTTATTAGCAGAAAAAATTCTTCAAGAGAAAATGAATAGCAAAATTCATCAAAAAATGATTGATGAATTTATCAATAGTTTAAATGAAAAATAAATCTTTAATTATTGCTCAATCGTACGGAGATGCTTTTTTAGAGTTTTTAATTTCTGCAAAAGTCGATTTAAATCACTATTGATTACATTGTTTAGCATTTCAAGATTTTTTTGCACATGACTTAAATTTGGTTCATTTGCAAAAAACCAATATTGTAGAACAAAAAAAATTTTTTTTAGTTTTTTGTAAAAGACCGTTTCAAATATGAAGAAGTTTTTTTTATGTTTTGATTGATGATCAAAATATTTTTTATATTCCCAAAATTTTAGATTATTTACAAATAAAGCTAGAAAAAAAACTTGTTATTCAAAGAGGAGAAGTTAATAGTGTGATTCCGTTGACAAACTCTCAAATAAATAAATTAAATTTAATTATGAGTAAATTATTGAAAAAAAAAGTTTTATTGCGAAACAAATTAGATGTTCATTTAATTGGCGGCATAAAATTACAAATTCAAGATATGGTTTGGAATAATTCTATTTCTTTTCAGTTAAAAAAACTTTATCAAAAATTATTAAAATAAAATTAAATATGGATAATAAAATTTCAGAACTTACCAAAATTCTTAAAGAAAGAATCAAAAATTACGAATTGAAAACCTTACCGAAAGAACAGGGTAAAGTAGTTTCCGTGGGGGATGATATCGCGATCGTGCAAGGATTGGCTCATGTTGGATATTTAGAAATTATTAAATTTGAAAACGGTTCTCGAGGAATTGCGATTGTTTTAGAAGAAAATTCCGTCGGCGTGGTTATTTTAGAAAAAGGCATTTCCATTAAAGAAGGGGATGCTGTTTATCGAACAAAACAAATTATTTCAGTTCCCATTAGTTCGCAATTTCTCGGAAGAGTGATTAATCCATTAGGGCATCCATTGGATGGCGGCGAAAAAATTCAAACAAATAATTACTCCGTGATTGAACGCATTGCTCCATCCGTTATTCAACGAGAATCGGTAAATGAACCGCTAGAAACGGGAATTTTAGCCATTGATGCTCTGATTCCGATTGGCAAAGGACAACGAGAATTAATTATTGGTGATCGACAAACCGGAAAAACGGCAATTGTTCTTGATACTTTAATTAATCAAAGAGACAAGAATGTGATTTCTATTTATGTGGCAATTGGGCAAAAAAGCACTTCAATTTTAGAGGTTGTGAAAAAACTTAAACGAAATAAAGCAATGAAAAATACGATCGTCGTCGCATCTTCCTCGTCCGACACGGAGTCATTAAAATTCATTACACCATTTGCGGGAATTACTATTGCCGAGCATTTTATGCAACAAGGTAAAGATGTAGTTATTGCCTTTGACGATTTAACTCGTCATGCTATGGCTTATCGAAGTTTATCGCTTCTTCTTTCTCGTTCACCCGGAAGAGAAGCTTATCCCGGCGATATTTTTTATTTACATTCACGTTTACTTGAAAGATCAGCAAAATTAAATAAAAAAAATGGTGGAGGTTCCATTACTGCATTGCCAATCGTTGAAACCCAATTAGAAGATATTTCCGCCTATATTCCTACCAATATTATTTCCATCACGGACGGACAGATTTTTTTGATGAACGATTTATTCAATGTCGGCATTAAACCGGCCATTGATTTCGGTTTATCCGTTTCTCGAGTTGGTTCAAATGCTCAAATTAAAGCTATGAAACAAACAATCGGAACATTAAAATTTGATTTGTCTCAATATCGAGAATTAAAAACATTTTCTCAATTTGGTGGCAGTTTAGATAGTAAAACCAAAAATATTCTCGAACGCGGCACCAAAATTATTGAAATACTCAAACAAAAAGAAGAAGAACCCTTACCTCAGTGAATTCAAAGTATTATTTTATTGACAATTAAAAAAGATTTAATCAAAGATATTCCATTATCCTTTATTCAAGTATTAAAAGAAAATATTATTGATTATTTTGGCAAATTAACCAATCAAACATGAATCAAAAATTTAATTCAAGAACAAGAAATTACTCAACATCAAGAAATAAGATTATTGAATGAAATTAATAAAATCATTCAAAAAATTCAAATGCGATTAGGTAAATAAAAAATGCAACAAGATATTAAAAAAATTCAAAAAAAAATTCAAAGCATCGGCAAAATTAATAAAATTACAAAAGCTATGAAAATTATTTCTTCTATTAAAGTTCGTCAATTAAAAGAAAAAACAAAAGAAACGACAAATATTTTGAATTATATGAACGAAATGATACAAATTTTAGAGATCATGCGAAAACAAAAAGAAATTCCGAGCAAAACACAAACAAAAGCTTTAAAAACTCTTTGAATTATTTATTTTTCGGAAATGGGATTTTGCGGACCCTATAATAATCAATTAATGAAGGAATGAAAGGATAATAAAAAATCGTCGGATTTTCTGGTAGTAATCGGACAAAAAGGCATTAATTATTTACAATTTGAGGGTCAAAGAATCAATTGAAAAAGTCTTGCTATTGATTTTAATTTGTCAAAAGCGAAAGAGCTCGCTAATTTTATCTTGAATGACTATCCACACAAATGAAACAGAGTCAAGATTATTTGTGCTGAAATTGCCCAATCACATAAAATGGTTACCGTATGTAAAAATCTTTTACCCGTGGAAAACAAACTGTTTTCCGACACTCAATCCGTATTAGCTCAATTTACGGTCGAGCCGAATTTAAACATCGTTTATAACGACAGTATCAATATTTATCTCAATGTTTTTCTTTTGCATTTATTTTGAAAATCCCGAATCGCGGAAGAATTTTCTCGTCGCTCCGCGATGGAAGAAGCGAGTGAAAATGCCGATGAAATGGCAAATAATTTAAAATTAAAATATAACCAAATGAGACAGGAAAAAATTACTCGAGAAATTCTCACTATTTTAAGAAATGATGATTAAGAAAAAAGCAAATAAAACAAAGTTAAACAAAGGCATTCTTATTCGAATTAATGGACCGGTGTTGGATGTGCGTTTTGCTGATTATTTACTACCTGATTTATATAGTACTTTAAAAGTTCAAAATGGAGATCAAGATTTAATTATGGAAGTAGTTCAACAAATTGGAAATAATGTAGTTCGTTGTTTAGCTATGGAAAGTGTGACGGGATTACAAAGAGGAGCTGAAGTATATGATTTAGATCGGCAAATTTCCGTTCCTGTTGGAAAACTCACATTAGGCCGAATGTTTGATGTTTTAGGAAGACCGATTGACGGCAAACCAGCCTTAAAAAATTCTAAATTGTTGCCAATTCATCAAAAACCCCTGTTAATGAAACAACAAAAACCGGCCACTCAATTATTGGAAACCGGCATTAAAATTATTGATTTATTAACTCCTTTCGCAAAAGGCGGAAAAATCGGTTTATTTGGAGGAGCTGGAGTAGGAAAAACGGTTTTAGTTCAAGAATTTATTAATAATATCGCGACTCAACACAAAGGTATTTCTGTTTTTGCTGGTGTTGGCGAACGAAGTCGAGAAGGCAACGATTTATATAATGAAATGATTGAAACCGGAGTTTTATCTAAAACTATTTTAGTTTTTGGACAAATGAATGAACCTCCTGGACCTCGAATGAGAGTAGCTTTAAGTGCTTTGACGATGGCGGAATATTTTCGGGATACAGAAAAAAAAGATGTATTACTATTTATTGATAATGTTTTTCGTTTTGTTCAAGCGGGTAGCGAAGTATCTACATTGCTTGGTCGAAGTCCATCCGCGGTGGGTTATCAACCGACTTTGGAATCCGAAATTGGACAGTTACAAGAACGAATTGCTCCGGCTCTTAATGGTTCAATCACTTCCGTACAGGCGATCTATGTCCCGGCGGATGATATTACGGATCCGGCCCCGGCAGCAATTTTATCTCATTTGGACTCGCGAATTATTTTGGACCGAGAAATTGCCGCTCTTGGTATATATCCGGCAATTAATCCTCTATCCTCATCATCTCGCATGCTTCGCCCGGAAATTGTAGGCGAAAAACATTATGAAATAGCACAACGAGTAAAGGAACATTTACAGAGATTTGAAGATTTGAAAGATATTATTGCAATTTTAGGTTTTGATGAGTTAAGTGAAGAGGATAAACAAAAAGTAAATCGTGCCCGAAAACTAAGAAATTTTATGTCACAATCTTTTTTTGTCGCGGAAAAATTTACCAATCAAAAAGGTGTTTATTGTTCAACTGCCCAAGTAGTGGAAGATTGTGAAAGAATTTTAAATGGAGAATTTGATGCTTATTCAGAACAGGATTTTTTTTACTTAAATTCTTTATCGGATCTGAAGAAATCCAAAACAAGTACAAACTCAACGAAATAACTTTTTATGAAGAAAACATTTAATTTAGAATTTTTTTTAGATAATAAAAATCTTTTTCATGATGATTTAATTTCAATACGTTTAGAGGCTGGAAAAGCAAACGAAATTACTATCTTACCTAATCATATCTCTCTTATTACTACTTTATTGAATACGGAAATTAATTTGAAATTAAAAACAAAACAAGTAAAATCATTTAAAGTTAATCAAGGAATTTTTTATTTTCACGAGAATCAAGCTAAAATTATTGCTCTCAGTAAAACTTAATTTTTTATTTTATTTATGCGCCTTTTAAATTTTTTACAGTCTGATTATTGAATTTTAAAAAGTTACAAAAAACTGCAATTAGAAATTTTATCAAATTGAAAAAAATTGAAAAATAATAGTGACAAGCAATTGCTGGAAAAAGCGAATCAATTAAAAAAAAGAGTAAACAAACAAATTTCTAATTTAGACAATCTGATCGTGCCATCTTTTTCTTTAATGGCTGAAAGTATTTTACGTACAAAAAAAATTCGTTTACATCCCGTACAAATTTTGGGAGCAATTGCCCTTCATTTTGGAAATGTTGCGGAAATGAAAACCGGAGAAGGTAAAACATTAACCGCTTTATTGCCAGCTTTTTTGAACGCTTTGACAGGTAAAATGGTGTGCATTGTCACCGTCAATGAATATTTAGTGACACGGGATTATGAAGATAATAAACCGATTTTTGCTAAATTAGGAATGGAAATTGGACAAATTTTAAATAGCATGGAGAAAACGGAAAAAAGTGCTAATTATCAAAAAAGTGTTGTTTATACAACTAACTCCGAAATTGGATTTGATTATTTACGGGACAATATGGATAGTATTTTTAATCCTAAAATGCAAAGAGATCTATTTTATGTCATTGTCGACGAAGCGGATTCGGTTTTGATTGATGAAGCTCGAACTCCCTTAATTATTTCTGGACGTTCGCGAAATCGAAGTGACTTTTATCAAATTACCGATAACTTCGCGAAAGGATTAAAAACTACGGATTATGTCATTGATAAAGAAAATAAACGTGTTTCTCTAAGTAACTCGGGCATTTTAAAGGCCAATAAATTTTTTCATGTGCAAAACATTTATGATTTAAAAAATTCAGAATTGTTTCATTTTTTAAGTAATGCCATGCATGCGAATTATATTTTGCATAAAAATATTGATTATCTCGTTCGCGGTGGACAAGCCAAACTGATTGATCATTTTACCGGAAGAGTTATGGGAGATCGTAAGTTATCGGAAGGTTTGCATCAAGCTTTAGAAACTAAAGAAGGATTAAAAGTAAATGAAGAGACCTCCATTTTAGCAACCATTACTTATCAAAATTTTTTCCGTCTTTTTGACAAAATCGCGGGCATGACCGGAACCGCTAAAACAATTGAAGATGAATTTATTAAAACTTATAATATGCATGTTTTGGAAATTGATACTAATTTACCGATTATTCGTAAAGACTTAAAAGATTTGGTGTTTATTAATAAAAAAGATAAGTATTTACATTTAACCAGTAAAATTAAAGAATTTTATCAGCGCGGTCAACCCGTTTTAGTTGGAAGTAGTTCCGTACAAACTTCCGAAGAAATTAGTTTAATTTTAAAACACTTAAAAGTTCCTCACAAAATGTTAAGTGCGAAACATCACGAATATGAAGCAAAAGTTATTGCGGCCGCGGGTAAATGTAAATCAATTACAATTGCGACCAACATGGCCGGAAGAGGTACCGATATTAAATTAGAACCCGAATCCGAAAAACTCGGCGGATTAGTCGTTATCGGAGCCGAACGTAACGAATCCGAACGTATTGACTTACAATTAAGAGGACGAAGTGGACGACAAGGAGAGCCGGGATCATCTCAGTTTTATGTTTCTCTCGATGACGAACTATTTACTCGTTTTGGAAACGTTAATTTAAAAAAACGATTTGCGGCTTTCGGAGGCAAACCGATTAGTTCGAGTATTTTATCGCGAACGATTCGTAAATCACAAAATCGCCTAACAACTTTGAGTTTTGAACAGAGAAAAACTCTTTTAGAATTTGACAATGTAATCTCTCAACAAAGAGGAGTAATTTATAGTCAGCGGGATTTATTACGTAAAACTAGTGATGTGAAACTTTTTTTGAATAAACTCAATAAACACTATATTGCACTTTTAATTGATCCAATTTTTAAAAATACTCTGGAAATTTCTCAAGAAATGACGCTTAATATTATCAATCAATTTAAAGATCGATATTTAATCATTCGAAATCATCGTTTGCCCGACGATGTAAACACATGAACAAAAAATGAATTAAAAAAATGAATAGCTGCCGAAATGCTTATTTTTTGAAATGTGATTCAGGAAAAAGAAACAAAAGAAAAATTACAACATATGGTTAAACGATTACTGGTACAAATTATTGATTATTTTTGAACAACGCATTTAGATGAATTGATGCGAGTTAAAAGTGCTTCATTTTTACATAGTTATGCTCAAAAAAGACCTTTGGAAAAATTTATTCAAGAAAGTGAAGATTTATTTCAAAGTTTTAAGACCAATGTAGTTTCTCATATAGTACCGACTTTTTATGAAAACTTTACTCGTGTTTATCGAGATTTAATTAATTCAGGAAAAATAAAATCTCCTCAAGCCGTTGAATATTCCGCCATCAAATAATGACTCTGAATTTTAATGTTTATGGTTTTATAATCGCGATTATTATGTTTTTCGCTTTTATTTACTTGGTTGTCAGAATTCGCCAACTTAAATTACCATCTCCCTTTTTTTTCCTACTTGGACTTTTATTTGTGATTCCTTTTATTTTTTTAGGAGCCCGTGTGTGAACATTGTTTTCTCAGGAATTTTTTACTCATTTGAATCAACAATCTTCATTTGGTGAACGTATTTTATTTTTTTTAGGAATTTCGGGTGATGAATTAAGAGGTCTTTCAATTCATGGAGCGATTGTTTTTGGTTTTATTTATTTATTGTTTTTTTTTCGCTTGTACGGAAAAAAATATTCTTATTCAATGTTTTTTTGTTTTGATTTATTTTTACCCATTGTTCTTTTCGCGCAAATTATCGGACGTTGAGGAAATTTTTTTAATCAAGAAATATTAGGCCCCGTCTTTACCGATAATTACCCCACCGAATATGAGTGAATACCATCTAACATCGCAAACTTATTGAGAAGAAGCAATGAACTAAATTCCATTTTACGGGAGCCCCTATTTCTGTATGAATCTGTTTCTAATTTTGGATTATTGCTCATTATTTTTTGAGTATACCCATTGATTTGTAAATTTTTGTCCCCTCGACCTTGAAACATAAACATTCAATGAAAAAAAAATCGTCAAAAACATTTTAACGAATTAGGGAAATTTTCTGTTTTTCAATGAAATTATTGAAAAATTCGAAAAAAAATTTTTCAACTTAATCGTTTTTATTGAAAGCGATCACTTGACAATCCAAATTTAGATTTACAAAATGTTCCCAAAATAAATCTTTCTTCTAATTTTTTTCAATTAACTCCAAATTCGCGAACTAACTATTATTATGCTCAACAAAAAATTAATCGTGATTATCGCGGAGTAAATAAATATTTCAAATTAATTCGATTATTTTTTCTTCGTAATTCAACTCTTTTAACAAATTATTTCAATCCTTATAAACTTGTTATTCCCCGATGTGGAACAAAAATGGGATTGTATTTTATCGGTTATGGAATTATTCGTTTAGGACTCCAAAACTTAAGAGATTTAGACACTGATAAAATGGATGTTACGATTCCTTTTTCCATATTTTTTATTATTTTCGGTTTTCTTTTTTTTCTTTTTGCTCAATTTATTTTTCCGCGACGGTTTCGTAGCGAAAGTTGATATTATGAAACTAGGTATTAAAATTAATATTACATAATTAAAATTTAATTTATGGGCACGAGTATTCTTGAATCTTTAAAAATCTTTATTACTGACGAAATTTCAACTAACCTATACTGATTTTTGTTTATTGGATGTGCTTTATTTGTTTTTTTAATTGCGCTCATTTTGCCCCGTTTAATTGTTTATTTATTACAAAAATTTAAAATTAGTCCGGTTTTTATTACGATTTTTATTCTTTCGTTTATTACATCTTTGCCGGAATTAATATCAATTATTTTTTTCCCGATCATTGAAGGCGATGGAATCAATGGAGCATTTAAAGCTTTTTCGAATATTTTTGGAGCTAATTTTCTATCTTTTGCGATTTTATCGGTTTTGGATTTAATTTTTTTTCGTTGATTATTTTTTAAATCATATTCTCGTAACATGAAAATTACTTCAGGTTTAATTATGATTTTTAATCTTGTATTTTTTTTAAGTTTTTTATTTCCGGACTCATTTTTAAATTCGAAAATTTTCAAAATCAGTTTGTTCTTACTTTTTCTTTTAATTATTTATTTAATTTTTTCGATTTATGCCTATCGTCATCAAAAACCCTCCAAATCCACGGAACATTTTCAGGGTTCTTTTACTTATAAATATCCACGATCAATAATTTTTATTTTGCTGGTTTTTTTGATTTTTACTTTATTGTTTTTGATGATTGTGCTCATTATTTTATCAAATCAAATTCAGCATATTAATAATTTTTCTCCGCAAAGTGTAGGCGGGATTTTGTTTGCATTGATTACTTCATCTCCGGAGATATGAAGTACGATCGGAATGTTTTGAATCGGTTTAGGTTCGGCCTCCGTCGGTATTATTTTGGGAAGTCATTTAATTAATATGATAATGTTAATGTTTTTGGAAATAGAAAAAATTCACTCTAATTTTTATCTCGCGAAATTAGCGGAAAACGGAGAAACGTTAGAATGAGAACCGGCAACGATTTTGATTTTTGTCACTTTATTAACAAGCTTTATAATGTTTTTTCGTTTTTTTAAAGTTTCAACACATAAAAAAAATTACTTTCTTTTTCCGACAATGATTATTTTAATTTATATTATTTCT